GAGCGGACTTGGCCGAGAGGTTTTGTAGCCCGCGAGTAAGCATACCATTTAGGGTAGTCGCGAAGAGTCACGCTGGAGCCGGTCGTATTCTCTCGCGCCCAAGAGACTCGCGCCTCGCTCTGCTCGCCATAATTGGAGAGCTTGCTTGCAGGCTAACAGGTTTTAGTGCACTTAAGACGGAATCCACCAGGAAATTGAGTAATTTTAATTTTAATTTTCAGTGGACAAAAACCTTGTACCACAATAATTTAAAGTATGTTGCATTCTTTTTTACATTTTTCAACGGCTAAAGGTGTAATTAGTTATTTGCAATAACACCAAAGAAAATTTCTTATGGGAGCCCAGAAAATAAATGTCAAATTTCAGAAAAAAGACATCTTACACATTAAATTTTCCTAATTTTAGCTGTGTTTTACAATTTTTGTAAAATTTGACATTTATTTTCTCGGGTCTCCATGATAAATAGTCCTCGGTGTTATTACAATATTATTAAAAATTATTCTTGTACAAAATTTTTGTCCACTGAAAATTAAAATTACTCAATTTCCTGATGGATTCCGTCTTAATTCCAGTCTTCACTCTTGAACATTTAGTTCCGTCTCAGTGATCGCCAGTCCTCACTCCTACTGTCCGAATACCTGTTCACACTACGCCAAAGTCTGGCACAGAACCTATCCGATAAGTGACGCTCCACTTTGTACATCGACGCGGCGCAGCTTCGCTCCGTTATAGAGATTATAGCGCCGAAATCAATATGGTTTCGCGCCTGCGCAAGAGCTATCCGGTATAGAGTGTTTTCACATGACGTCACGGCGACCATATTGGTGTTCCAAAACAATGAAACGGCGGCCATGTTGGTGTCCCAAACCAATCCTCTGGGAGTTGAACTCTTTTCTTATGCAAACGCTTTCTTTTGTTCCAATAAATTTGCATAGATGCTGGCCACGTGAGTGAAAACACTCTATAGTGTGAACATTGCCACAGAGCGCGTGTTTCTTCTATTGTTAAGTCCAACAATTTGTCTTGTTTGAAATGTAAACCGTAGGTTGAAATGAAACTTTATAATCATTTGAAGATGATATTTACTAGAGTATGTCTTTGTTTGCCCACTCTTCTTAGTGAGAAAATTGGGAATTCAGAAGAATCACTCTGTATGACGGCAAGGAGGAACCTGAAGTAACAGATATCTAATTAATGTAAATGGTTTTGCTCAAAAAGAGCGGGAAGCGGACGCGCGCTCGCCACGTGCGGGCACGTGTCAGCGGCTACTTATAAAAGCCTCTCCGTACAGCACATGCGCAGACAGAATGCCGCCCTGTTCAGACATGTAATTAAGGTAAATGCATTGTTCACCCAAGGTACGCTCTCCTCCGCAGAGGCTGCCGATGGGTACAGTGTATCTCAATAAAAATAGCAATAATGGAAAAATAGAAAGCGCGCGGGGGGACGATGGGAAAAGGGTAAAGGCTTTTTTTTTTTCCATCGTCCCCCGCGCGCCGTCTGTGGCTCAAGGTACGATAAAACGGGCAACAAATACATACAACTTGTTTTGCAACATGATGCTGCAAAACGAGTGAGTTGAAAGCAATGTTGGTCGTTTTACCACCCACGTACTGCAAACCTGTCTTGCAACAAATCAGGTTGCTGCAAGTCACCAAAAAAATGAGCTATGGTCCTCTTCATACAGTGGAACCCCCGCTAATGTGGTCACCAATGGGCCGAAAAAATTTGGCCGTGATAACGAGCTGACCGTATTAACGAGGGTTTCTTTACAAGAAAATGTATGGTTGTTTTTGCCGGGCGACCAATAAAAAGTGGCCGTAATAACGAGGTGACCGTATTACCGAGGTAGCTGTAAGGCGGGGTTCCACTGCATCTCAAACGGAGCATTTTGTGTGCGGTTAAGTGCACTAAACGGAATTAACCTAGATCTGCAAATACCCTGTGACATAGCCCCTTTCAGTGCCGGATCTAGACCCTGCGATGGGGGGGTGCCTGGGCAGACCCTTAGATAAGTGGGGGCCCGGTCTCCAAAAAATTTTTTTCGTCCCTTCGGGCCTCTATTTGGTCTCAAAGTCAGGGGGGCGGACCCCCCGGCCCCTCGGCCCCTCCCCTGGATCCGCCACTGCCTTTTACCGTGTTGTGTCAGCTACGTAGGCCGATTAATCACAAGTACCGGATGTTAACATAAGAAACGACGGGTCAAAGAGGTTGGTTTTACTAGCTTATGTTTGGCAGATCAGTAATTTACTGCGCTTTTCACAAACATGCGAATTCTGAAAATCAAAACCCAACCGACGATTGCGTTTTTCGCTGCCGTCAATCATCTTAACGGACCTCTTAGGAAATAAAACTTTACTTTAACGGGTTCAAAAGGTCAAGGTTTGCGATTTGTGATTGGTGGATTTCGATCCGTCAGTGTGTGTTTCTGTGTTTCAAGGTTCGTTGCTTGTGATAGTAATTATGACTGACGGCAGCGAAAAACGCAATTTTGAAGGCAGCTTTTGAACTTTAGAGTTCGCATGTTTGTGAAAAGCGCAGTAAACTATGGGTGTAAAAACTGAAGTATGCAACAAGAGTGCCAAGTACGTGCCTTTGCAATTTGCTAGTATATCCATGTAACTGAAACGTGCTTAAACATTGCCACGCCTCCTAAACGAGCTATATTTAAAGGCCTTCCCAGATTCTCGTATAGTTTTTGCGACTTGGTAGCGTAAAGCATTTCAGACCTCTCTAAAGTGCTTAATATCTTTCATATAATGGAACAGGAATCGAGTAAGATTCCTCCCTCCAGAAGTTGCTTCAAGTGGGAGCGCATTCGCAATTTGTTATGCTTTGTTGTGGTTACCTGCCTCTTAACGTGCATCGCTTTCCAGTTTATCTTCCTCGTCTCAATGCATAGGAAACTTGAAGACGTTGAGACCCAGCTCAGGGGAAAAGAAAGTCGACTTGCGACGATTGAAAGTAAACTTAGAGTGATTCAGGATAAAGAACGTAAACCGCGCAGTCAATGGGAAGGACGACTCACTATTGCCGAAAACAAGATAGAAGCAATTTCCCAAACACTGAAGCATGGGAAGTGGGAGCAAACGAAAAATCATGCTCGACAGAAGAGGACGACTAACCCGCAGGTTAATTTGTCAGACCTTGGTAAGAGGGTCATTGCAGTGGAGAGCAGGTACTATTGCAAGCTGTTAATTCAATTTTTTGTTTTAGCCCTTTGAGTCCCAAATGGGAGGCTTTTTTCGTGAGTGAAATTCAGCAGTATCTCATTAGGGAATTATTTACTCTCGGCATAAGAGTCAAGGTAGTCTGATTTGTATGTCTAATATGGACTAACGACCAACGGGCGATGAGTCCCAGAATGTAAATAGAGCAATTTCGGTTCAAAGAAATCAGTCGAATGGCTCCACGAGAGTGGCAATAACACTTGAAGTCTACTGAGCTAAATCGCCACTAAGGGATTAAAGCACTTTTTTCCTGTCTCTACCGACTTTACAAAAGCACCACTCCTGTCACGCGCGCGCTAATGCAGGGTGAAAAAAAGGTGTTTTCCTTTGGGATTATCCGGATCAGGATCAGTGGCCCTAGAACACTTGGATTATGATGCATCAAAGGGATCTATAAATCCACTCTGCACAAGGATTCATCGCTTTCGTTGGTGCAATAGATCCGATTGATCTCGGATGACTGATCCTGATCCGGCTGCACCCTAAAAGAACGCATGCGCGCGCACGGCAAACGTCTCATCCACGTTGACAATTTCTAAAATTAGACAATGAAAAGATCGCAACTGCCAAAATAATTCTGTGGATAAACCTGACGTGAAACTATTTTTTTTGGCTAATTACTCGTTAATTTTAACTTCAAGTAAAGGGAAAACTCGGTCACGTGGTACAAATTGGCGTTTGCTGTGAACGGGATTATAAATCTATCTAATACCAAGCGACGTAGTATTCACGTACTGTACTTCTGTCAGTAACGTTCGGTCCAATGTGTCTCTACAACACCACTTACTAAACGTTCGCTCGCGAAATATGCCTATGATCTGTAGCAATAACCAATCAAGGTGGCCACAAAATTCAGCACCTGCTGTCTGTCTTTAGTTTATAAGAGTAGGTCTTGGTCGTTGTTGTCTCGAATGGCACCATGTGGTTGTTTTGAGGGAGAAAACGTCACCAAGTTTCCCTTGACCTTCGAAATGGCCAATAAAAACAGTCTCTTTGAGTATTTTCAAACAACACCTTTCCTTTCGAACGCTGACCGAGCAGGCTAGGAATAAAATGGAAAATACGCTTGAAAATACCATTGAAAATTTTCCTAACCTCGGTTTAAGTGTCGAGATTATCAGTTCGCTCGTTAGGACGTTGCCTGTCTTATCTCGAGGCTGATGGACGCTATAATATTTCAGGGGATGTAGTTCCATATCGAGGGGGTCTTTAGAACGAGCGCTGGCCGTAACGTATACGTAAAGGAGAAAATAAGCCAGCAAAATAAAAATCTTTAACCGTAAATGCCAACAGACCTTTAAGACCCTTGTTTGTAATTTTTATCTTTTATTCGTATTTCAGAATTGTTGAACTCTCTAAGGACCTGAGCCAGCGGTCCTCTTTTCGAGGTAAATAGCCACTGAGCCAATACTCCCTGGTTACGTTTTTGAAGCCATAAAACACTCACAGCACGTGTTTCATAGTGTTTGAAACATCTCGCGCGTTGCCCTCGAATTTCTTTCTGACGTACATGCAAACTGGTACGTCCATCGTGGTACAAGAGGGAGTGGTGGTTGGAACCCCTAGCATTTTCTTTAAGTGGCGATATTTTGAAAAGTTTCTGCCCTTGATAGAGAGCGTGCTATGATAGAATACATATCGAAAAAGCGCTCCTGGGGGCATTTGAGGTCATCCAATATGGCGGTCTTTTTTAGGTTTTCACTTTTTCCACTATGGTTTTGTTTTGTCTCGAAAATTTAATGTCAGAAATGCGCATTTACTCTTGCAATCATGTTTTTTTTTTACCCTTTAGGTCGAGACGGAAGGGATGGTATGCCAGGACCACCCGGACCTGCTGGTAATTAATACTCAGTGGAAGGTCGAAACGTTCCCTCATCCCGTCTTTTTTTAATTTATATTTTCATTATCATTATCATTGTTGACAGTCAAACGCCATAACATGTAGCTATTGCTAGTTAAGGGACTCAGCTGGGACAGGACCCCATTTAAAGGACTTTCACAGCAGGTCAATTAAGTCCCTAGGTTACTCAGTCAAAAAGAGAAATCCCTCCAACCAACAACAAAGACTGGGATACAGGAGGTTCCCACTATACTGCTTCACTCCCTTACGAGAGGTTTGACAGCATTCCTAACTTCTCTTATAAGAACATTCTCCTTCCAACTTTCATCTTCTAAGGGTGATAGTTAAGTTATTGTGAGGCATGCTTAACACACAGAATGAGAGTTTCGTGAAGTTTGCGTCCTCAGGAAGGTTTCTTACCTCTTAGGACGAGACGGGAGAGACGGGAGACAGGGACCCGCGGGACCACGAGGACTTACGGGACCTAAAGGTAGGTAGATACCAGATAATTCTAAAGGGGTAGTGCGCTTTATAGAATTCTCTCCGCGAGTAGTTGCTAACTCATCAGGGACGGTGGAGCCGTGGGGTTCACATCATGGGGGCGTAAGACTTTTACGTGGAAAGTCTCCTCAAGTTCCCTACTTCGAGTCACTAGTCAGCCCCCCGCTCCTTACCACCCCCCTTAAAAAATTTATTCCGCTGCCTCTGCTAATACCGTCATACTACCATAGTAGGGGTTGTTATATGATAACGATTGGTCATTACCGATCGAAGCTCAAAGCAAAATAGGTTAGGACTACTTTAACCGAGATCTTTAAACGAAGCAATTACCCTCACTAACTCTGACAAACGTGAGATTATTGTAGGAATGATTCCATGTGTTCCCACTAACGTTCTGGGCACTACCCACTAAGGCAATTGGCAGTTTTTGTTTTGTAGCAAACACGTTCCCGCGAGAGCAAGCAAGGTCCAAATGTTTAGGCACGAGCAAAACAAGTGAGGACATCTCGCACCTAGCTTGCGAGGGGAACGCTTGCTAAGTTGCCTGTTTATTGGTTTAGGTCTCCTAACATTCTCCAGCGTATTTCTGAACATGTAATGATAGATAAGCTATAAGCCACTTGACATCTCCCATAATGCACCTTATTTGCCCCCCAAAATTTTGCATAACCTTTGTTTTTCATGTCAGTTTTACAGCCGTGCCAAAAGAAATTGAAAACAACGCTTATGCAAAATTTGGGGGGCAAATAAGGTACATTATGGGATATATACAAGTGGCGTATGCTATAAATAATTTATAATCTGAATCCGAATAATAAACCACCTGACTTATTTTCTCGCGAAACGTCGCTAATATAGTACTATGAACTGTTATCATCGGATATCTGATTCAAAAAGGTGAGATCTAGCAGTAACGCCATGTTAACAAAAACGAAACCTCACAGTAATAGTTATTTAAGGAAAAGAGAATAGATTAAAACGGTCCTACTGTCTGTGGAAGTCAGTTATAAATAAAGCTCGCAAATGCAAATTCACTCTCGAAACGCTTGGAAAAGGATAAACTATGTGCAAAACATAGTGCTTCCGTTTTTGATGAAAGCGCATATGTGGTCTTTTTTAGCTTCTACATCGATAACCATCAATAATGCTCTCATTTGAACTGATAGTAACAAGTTTAGTCTCAACTTAAAATTAAACCACAACTAGTAGAATTTGGAATTGTTTAGCGGATGAACTATATTTGAGCTCATCGACCTTAGCTTCCTTTAAATCGGTTATTTTTAATTATTATGAGTCTGCGTTAGTTGTTTTCCTATGATTGTGAAGACCCACGTTCGTTCAAGTCTATTTGTTTAAAATGTAATAGTGCTCGTCCCTTGTTTCATCCAGCAACTTGTTGTCAACAGCGTGTTGTAGTGAAAGGAGAGGCTTCTGACTGGTTAACCGTAACCTCTGGTGTCCCACAAGGTTCTTTGTTGGGACCATTATTCTTCATAGTCTACATCAACGATTTACCGGGGGTAATTAGTAAGGACAGTTCAATTGCTCTGTATGCTGATGACAGTAAAATGTATAGGGTTATTAGTACTCAAGAAGATCTGTCTACTTTTCAAAGTGACATAGACAAAATTTCAGATTGGTTTAAGATGAATAAGATGAGAATTAATACCAAGAAATGTAACATCATGCGAATAACCAGGAAAAAGTCACCATTAGTTGGGGAGTATAATATTGAAGGTCAACCTTTGGAAAGTGTTGATATGTATAAAGATTTAGGATTATTTACTACTAGTAATCTTTCATGGAACCAACACGTAGATAAAATAACTGCTAAGGCTAATAGGGTTTTAGGGTTGGTTAAGAGGACTTGTAGGGACTTAAAGGATATTGATACCATGAACAGACTTTATTGTAGTCTTGTGAGACCTTTACTAGAATATTCATGCGAAACTTGGAACCCTCATACTAAACGTAACATTGATAAACTGGAGGCTGTTCAGCGAAGAGCTACCAGATGGATCACTAGGTCTGATGATGATTATGATACTAGACTATCTAAGCTAAAATTGTTGTCATTATCTAATAGGAGGTTCACTAGAGATGTTACATTTTTTTTTTAATGTAATTAATGGACATTATGATATTGACATTTCAAATAAGCTCATATTTTGTAAGGACAGAAATACAGGTTATAACTTGAGGAAAAATGACACACAGGACCTTGTTCCAAATTTTAGTAGAACTGATGGTTTTAAATACAGTTTTTTTAACCGTGTTGTAGATGAATGGAATGGTTTACCCAATCATATTAGAGAATCAAACAGTGTTGCAACTTTTAAAAGAAATGTGTTAAGCTTTATTAAGAATAACTAGAACATTTATATTTCTATTTGTATATATTTTTTTTATATGTTAATTAGTGGGGGCATCCCTAGTATGGCGCATTGGTGCTTTTGGTTGTCTCCTTCTCCACAACTTTTTTTTTTTTTTTTTTTTTGTTTTGTTTTGTTTTTTTTTTTGTTTGTTGAAGTTTTTTTTTGTTAGTGTTAGTTTATTTCATTTCATTATTTGCTTGTTATGCAGTGGAGTGAATCTGTAATAAAGCTGTAGTTTTTCTTGTATCGCAGTGTTCTTTTTTTTTTTTTCTTTTTAACGTATCCGTGCCCGCTGTATATGGCCACAGCTGTTGCGGTGTCCCTGCCAACGTTCTTTCTGTTTGTTTATTTGTTTGTTTTGGCGTAGTTAATAATAAAATAAAATAACTTGTCCAACATACTGTTTAATGGCGGTAATAATGTTCGTCCCGGATTATTTAGACGCTATTTTCCTAGAATCACAGTGTAATGTATTTTTTTAATTTCCCGCGCTTTTTAGGGAACGAAGGTCCAACAGGGATTCCTGGGCCTGTGGGTCCTTCTGGGCCTAAAGGAGAGAGAGGAGCTGAAGGACAGGCGCTGTCAGGTGTGACGTATAACCGATGGGAGCGAACTAACTGCTCAGGAGATGCCTCTGTTGTGTACACCGGTATGAGAATTACAAGTAGATATATTTATAAAACGATAGAAAACAAAAAGACTTGGAAGTTTATGCAGCTGAATCAATACTATCTACTCAGAGACAGGGAGCCCATTAGCGGGAGCGTTCACGTGCACCTTGCGTAAGACCCTCGCCCATAATCCGGCGCGAGCAACTCCCACATTGGGCATGTAACATGGCGTTTTTACAGACTGGTCAATTTTGAGATACATTTTAGAGCACTTATTCCCTGGAAAGAAGCTCCGTTCTTGAGCTTAATCAAAGTATAAAAAAAGCTAAACGTACTAAAAAGGTCAAAAATACAATTTTTAGGTCTGCAGGTAATGCTTACTGGTCTGTGGGACTGATTAGATTTGCTCAATTTGCACCAAAATCGTTCTTAAAATAAAGGGGTCGGTACAAACACGATTCATGGAAGTTGCTCGCTCCGGGTATTGGGCTTCTGCCTTCCATGTATTCGTGTCACAGATCTACCAAGATTTCCTTCCTTGCAAATTCGGGACAAATACAGTATTTGCTATCTTTGCCCCTGATTTTTTCCTAGTTGTTTTGTTTGCATGATATTTGCCCTAAGCAAATTTATTTTTTCATAATGGCTTATCCTGGTTCCAGGGGGGTACTCTGGATTTCATTTGACGGGATGATCGAATGGGGGTAAAAATCAAAACCCAAAAAGTCCCTAGGGCTTCCAACTAAACCAATAAAAATCCCTGGGCTAAAAACTAACCCCAAAAAAGTCTCATGCCGATTTTTAGAGCCTAGAAAGCATCAAATGATATAAAAATAAAATTTTAAAAAGTTAGAAATTTAATGTTTGTCTTTACATCGAATATTAGATTGTTTTGAACACCTAAAAAAATCCCTAATTAAATCAAGCCACCGGGATCCTGGTAATTCAACTTGTTCATACTAGCTGCTTTATTCCGGGGATGACCATAATTTAACGGGACAGTCAAATGTAAAACCTTTTTTTACGACAGACACGAATTTAAATGTCATTTTCCCGTGTTTTGACAGGTGTGATGGGCAGCGGCTATTATGATCACCCCGGTGGAGGCTCTAATTTTGTTTGTCTTCCCGACAACCCTATTTATGACAAGTACATCCAAGGCTGGCAGGTAACCGGAGCGATATACGGCACAGAGTATCAGCCAGGCAATTTCCCAGGCTTTAGCAAAAATCTTAATAACCAGGATGCTCCCTGCGTCGTGTGTTACGTCAGGTCACGTAGTTCCCAAATGATGATCCCTGCGACCACCAAGTGTCCCTCTGGATGGACCAGGGATTACTACGGGTACTTAATGACATCTCACTATGGTCACAAGCATACCAGCGAATTTGTGTGCATTGATGTCGATGCTGAGGCCGTCCCGGGTGGCCATCGTGACACAAATGGAGCACTGTTGTACCTAGTGCAAGCTGATTGCAATCACGGTGTACCGTGTGTTCCGTATATTCAAGGCCACGAATTGGCATGCGTAGTATGTACCAAATAGAAAGAAGCGTGTAGTAGAACCTCTTTGGGCCACCCTCGGGGAAAAGAACACTGGCCTCCAAATCGAGGGCCCAGGAGGGTGTGGTAGGGTTTTGATTTCTTTTAGTATAACCACGAACGCAATATAATAATTCGGTGTACAAAATTTACTGGCTCCGGGGCTTGAAGGAATTAAACAAAAGAAATGTGTAGTTCATCCTTGAGCCTCAAGATGATTTCTTTTGTCTGATTTTCCCAGGCCTCAGAATTAAGTATGAATGTTAACATATCGAAATTGGTCTGTTGCCGCTCTGCCCTAAGATGTGATTGTTTTAAATTTCTTCCCTTGTAAACGTAGCCTGTTCCAGGCTCTAGTTATTAGTGTAGTCGTGCAGTCAAGAAAAGTGATGCGACAAAGACGCGGGGGCTGGGGAGAGAAAGGGCTGTGGATCTCTCTCTCCTATCTTTTTTCCCGCAACCGCCCCCTTTCCCAGATCAACCAATATTTCAGACTCGTACCCAGTCGCTATTCAAGTGTTTTTTTGGGATGAGAGAAGATTGGGGATTAGGTTGAGGCGCGCGCGGGGTCTCATGGGAAGGGCCCTTCCCATGAGACCCCGCGCGCGCCTCAACCTAATCCCCAATCTTCTCTCATCCCAAAAAACACTTAAATAGCGACTGCGTACGAGTCTGCCAATATTTGGCTAAAGGTGAGCCGCTGAAGTTTTGAAACCTTGACCCTGTTAGGGATTGTTAAGTACAGTGAAACCTGTATTAAGCGGACACCCTCGGGGAATGCTGTAGTGTCCGCTTAATACAGGGTGTCTGCCTAATACAGGTTTCGATAGATAACGTCATATGAGTTGTCAAATGCCATTCAAATGAACAGTGGAAACGTTTACAATACTCCAGAGACTATGACGATATACGTTTGCATTAATTTCTTTATCAGAGTGAACCAATTGATCATAGTACCATAAACATAGATTGCAACTCAAATGTGAAGAAATCAGATGAGTGAAACAAGCTCTGTACAAACAAAACGAAATAGAAAAAACAATACAGTACGGTGAAACTAATCAAATAAGTTCGTCAACTCAAGTTTGTAAATGTAAAAATCGAAAAATTTGTGGGTGGCAATTCGAGGCAATCTTTCGCATTTCCGGTGTCTGGCATGTTAGGTGGTAGAATTTAATTACAAGTGTCCGTTTAATACAGGTTGGCAACAATAGAAATGACCATTTTAGGTACTGTTTAGGTGTTTGCGTCCGCTTAATAGAGGTGTCCGCCTAATAAAGGTTTCATTTAAAGTAAATAAGGGAAAAAAATTTTGGGACGTCGACTACTGTCGGCTTAATACAGGTTTCACTGTACCTTAAAACATATATTAGATATATCTTGAAAATTATTCATCGCTTTCCTGGTAACCTTAGAGTGTTTCTAAAATGATCAAACTTACGTAAGCAAGCTATCACACGGACTATCGCGTATTGAACAATTTTCAACTTGATAATTTCATCCTTTTTTTTTCCATACTTGGATAGGCCATAAAAAAGCAAATTGCAAAAATCCAAGTTAATACTGGCAAAGGAGTGAAGGAGAACTTCAGCTGTTGCAGTATCGATGTACTTACGAATCTTAGTTATTTTTGTTATAAATCAATAATTGATCATGACATAATGGAGAATATAGAAACTTTAATATTTGACAAGATGTAGAATAAACTTGATCCTAAAAGATCGGGCGTGCAAAATTGTGAAATTTCAATATTTAAAATAGTGCAGAATAATGAAATTTTTTAACGTTGTTATAAAAATTATGTAGTCTTGTAGGACCCGCTGAATAAGCAAACTGAGGGAAATGTCTTTCTTTAGAACATTTTACTTCATTAGGGCATAAACTCACCTTTCTTCATTAAAGGGACACAGTCAGTAATGGGACCGGGCTGACCTGGACACTCGTTGCCAGTCTGAAAAGCGTTTACCTCAACCCGAAATCAAAAGTACGCGTCGGATACATCTAAAAAATCCGTTTCAATCTTGCCTAGTGTTTCATTCGATCCTCGATCTTTTACAGAAAACCTCTTTTGAGCATACTTTTACTCATCCTATGACATTATTTTATCATATATGGTTAAAAACAGTATCCAAAGGAATATGAAGAGAAGAGGTGAGAAACGCCTAGGCGCCGGAGGGGGAGAAATCGCCTTCGTTTACCAAAATAATAAAAGAAATGAATCAATAACATTGGCGAGCTAATAATAGTTATATATATTTGGAAAATCGATGGAAAAGGTTACATGTGTTTGGAAAATCAAGCTTTCTCGATCTTGAACCTTCGACAATGATTCATGCAGACTCCGTGTCATTTCTCACCTCTACTGATGATCGAACTCAGAAGTATTCGTCCATTTTTGGCTTTCCCTGACAAATCCATGGGTAAACCCATGATCGTGGTCAAAAAGTTGACATTCCTTCACTCATAGAGAGGATGTTTGGGGATATTTTAAATAGAAAAGAAGCCTGATCAATTTAGGTTTCTGAGAAACTGCCCACCTACCCCTCCCCTAAGCCAACATTATTACTTACTTCTCACTTAGGGCAAAATGTTGGCTTAGGGGAGGGGTAGGTGGACAATTTCCTAGAAACCTAAATTTATCCAAGAAGCCTTTCTAGACTATAGCCCCATTCACACCAAAGCCTAAACATGTTTCTGTTAAGCAATAAAAATGCAAGCAATGGAAATTTTAGCCCCGGGGGGCTATTCCTGGGAATTCTTGGTGGGGGTATGCTGCCCGGTTCTCTATATCCTGACTCTATTTCAGACCAAAAAATGTTGTTTTCCACACCCGTTTTCAGACCATACCTCTAAAATCCATATACGGCCATTTTCAGACCTGGCCTCGGTTGTTTAACAGTTGGATGGCACTATATCCGGCCATCGGATATAAATCTATCCAGTGGATAACGCAATTGGTTTCCCTAATACTTATCCGCTGGATAGCAATTTATCCGGTAGATATCGCTATCCAACGTTTGAACAACCGGGGCCTGGCTTTTAGGCAGAAATTATGTTATCTTTACTTAGATTAGAGCGCAAACCAAAAAAATTCTTCAAATCCACCTGTAATTCGCATATTTGGAATTGAAACGATAAATACGTTCATACACTTCCTGAGCTCCCTCAAAAACCATACCTGATTCCAGACCAAATTGGCAAAGTGTATACCCGTTTTCAGACCAAAAACAAAAACTATATAAGGGAGTACTCCCAAGGGATTTTAGTTTTGATCTAGTTTTCTCTTACCCAGCTTGATTTATGCCAATTTAGGGGATGTTCCATTTTGGTACATCCCCGTGATAACATAATTCTTCATGCTCCATGTTCCTTCAGATAGTATTATTGAGTCGGCTATTGCTGTTGGCGGAGTCTTGCTTTGGGTGAGCTCTGTTTGCTGGGATACCCAATAATGACTAAATTCCAGTTTGGGATAAATTTGGCCACAAGAGTGGCCGTTTATTTCATTTAAGCATATCAAGCTAGGAAAGTCCAGAAGATTTATCCCAGCAAAGGTGAGAGCACACCCGCCATCCGGGAGATGAAAGTGGAGCAAAACGGGAGGGATGGGAGGAAAAAATGTTTTCCAACTTTCTTGTTGCAGTGAGCAGAGAGGCCTTGTGCCTCGCTTTCATGTCATAAAAACACATATATAATTTCCAGGATGGCAGGAACGCCCCCTCCCCAGTAGCTGGAGAAATGACACATTAATCAATCACATTAAGCATAAAACCATTTATTTCTTTCAGAAATAAATTTCCTTTAATGCCGTCTAATGAGAGTCAGTTTTGATAGATGACAAAGTCTTGTTTTACTCGCGCACTTTGTTCAGTTTAATATTGTTTTGACCTCAATTTGGTCCTTCGTCCATATTTTCCAGGCAATGACTACCCTACTCATTTTTAACTATTTTAGGCCTGTTTTCATGACTTTTTACCCGAAAACATGGCAGTGGATAACTTTGATTAGACTTAAGTGATTTTATGGGTGTTTTTGTAGGCAAACCACTATTGTTCTAAATTCTGCCTTGTACTGTGAACCTCAATGACGCCATCATATCATTAAGATCTTCACGCTCTCGCTCTGACGTCGTGCCTAGTCAATTTAACTCCCAGTGTTTTGAAGATATTTTTGGATCGACGTTGAAGCATAAGTCAACGTTTTAATACAGTGGCTCAGTAGAACAGATGTTGATTGATCAGCTTGGATCCTTTAAAGATTTTTGGCTACATTGTCCAGGCGCTAATAATTCTTCACCAACCCATTCCCTGTCCCCATAAAAATCCGCTTCAAAAGAGATAGAAAATAATCAACATAAAGTAGCTGCTGAAATTCCTTTTTTCTCCCAGCTAAATATAAAAAAATGACTTGCTTTCAAGCTGGTAGATTAAATCAGTACTCTCAGTATCTTTCATTGTTATTTCTAATCGGTATGTCCAAGTTGAAAAAGGAAACGTAAAAAAAAATGATTTTCGGTATATTATTTACTCCATGAAAAGGTTGGAGAAATTTGAGAATCATAGGCTAATTTTGTTGCTTATCGATTTTTTTATCGATTATATTCAAATCTTTTGTTTTTTAAAATCGAAAAAGAAATTGAACCGGCATTTGCACTTTTCCACTTTTTAACTTTCAACTCCCAAGAGAGAAATTGAAAACAATGCTTGTGCACAGTTTTGGGGGGCAAATAAGCTGTATTGTGGGACTATGTGGAAGTGGCGATTTGCTGCATTGTACCTTTAATAAGGCCAATTTGCAAATAAAACCTTCATACACTGTCGGGTACGCACCGATTTTCCCCTGAAAATCAAAGCGTTGAAAACTCTGCAACGGATCGAAAGACGAGGGGAAGGGTCAAGATCTTACCAAATGCAAAGTAAACCATTACCAAAAGCACTTCTAAAACTGTTTAAAAAGATAAATAATACAGTTATTTCTGTTTGATCTATCTATAATTACTACTAA